CTGATGTTTCCTTGACTTGCCTGCACTGATGTCTGGCTGTTTGGATCTATACGGCTAGAATTCCTAAGCTGCAGGAAATAAAAACCAACATAAACCAAACTTAGGTAGCAAAGGGAAATTCATGAACAGGATATAGGACTGTCTCCCAGAAGCACAAACAGCCGCAGACTTCAAGACCTTCCTCCGTGTCTGGTTTCTTTTCTCAGTTCATCTGCTTTTCAATTCACAAGTGGGTACTATGGTCATACCTTGCTCCCATCTGGTTGTTTCTAGACAACCTGTACTATACCAATTAGGGTTTTGGGGCCCCCAATTCAGAGGAGAAAGAATCTGAAGTACCAAATTTGGGTCAGATACCCATTCTCATTCCGCCATGGCTAAGGAGGGCAGGTCACAAGGTATAGACGTAGCCACTGGGGTTCATAGCCAAGGATGAGGGCTGCAATTCAGGAAGATCACTGTCAGCTAGGCAGCACCCCCAGAAGGGACCCAGAAAGGATTGCGTTGTCACAAACAGACCTGAGTAGCTTAAGCCAAGCCAATGGTTCTCACTGTACCTCTGGTCAAACCATCTCCTTAGGGTGATAGACTGGCACCCAGGAGGCATTGGCACCCTGCACCCACAACATTCTAGGGGCAGGCTCATGGCTATATTCCCCAAGAGGACCCCACATTCATCTTCACTATACTACCACAATCTGTAGGTTTACTGAGATATAATTGACTTAAGCACTGTGTAAATTTAAGTACGAGTTGATTTATATATTCTGTGAAATGATTAGCACAAGAAGTTAACATGCATCATCTCCTCTAGATACAGAAAGAAAACAATGGCATTCTCCCTGTGATGAGTCCACCCACAATCTACTCTCTGCATATCATACAGCGTTGACTGTGGTCATCATGTCTCGCCCACATACCCAGCATTTATTTCTAAGTAGAAGTCTGTACATTTTTGACTCCCTTCATGTAATTCCTCCACTCCACTGTCCTCTGGTAACCACAAAACTGATCTTTATTTCTGAGTTTGGGACACTTGGGGGAGGGTTGTTGATTTGTTTGTTCAGATTCCACAGATAGGTGAGATCATACAATATTTGTCTTTCTCTGTCTGATTTATTTCTCTTAGCATAATGCCCTCAAGTTCTATCCAAATGGATACAAATAACAGGGTTTCCTTTTTTTAAAACAACATTGGTATTAATGGACATATTCTTTAAAAATTCTCTTATATACAGACCAATCTGAATGGGTGGGAATACTGGCAGAATTGCCCCCTGCAATGGCTGTTGGTAGATGGGGCAAAGTTTATGGGGAAGGTAACTGTGCCTAATTGAATTGGCCCTTTTAGTTAAGGAAAGAGAATGAAGCCCTTCAATGGCCCTAAGTTGCTGGAATACCTGGGCAAAGACCAGACAAAAAGCCTCACAAAGCTAGACTGAGTCTGAACAAACACCGGGAAAAAAGCAAATGAGGAAGGATGTTCCCACCTCTGTTATCAGTCAACGTATGATGAATGAATGAATGAACTAGTAAATGAATCTACTTATTCATGGAAAATTTTTAGAAGAGTTAATAACTCAAGAGACAAAACTTTTTTAAGGGATAGAAAGTTGTCTAGCCATCTCTTTTTTATTATCTTTTTCAAATTAGAAAACAGTTTATTTCAAATATTGGTTGTACTTTAATAGAAAAAACGTCCAATATGGAAATCATAAAGTAACTGGTCCACATTGTATGCAAACTAATGTTCTCCATGCTCTGGTCCAGCCTGACCTTTCAACTACACTGACCAAGCTACAATTTCACCTACACCTTCATCAGAGACACCTACCCCAACAGGAGGCCAAAGGAGGAACCAGCCCAGGTCAGCTTCAGGCTCATCCTGCCATATTCACTTTGATGGAAATTCTCTATCTACTACAAACCAGCTTGACTGAATTGAGTATCACAAAGGGGAAGAAAGAGGAGAAAGCTGCATTTTTGTGAAAAACAAACAAAAAGCCTACATTGCACAATAAATATTTGGGCAGGTTTTCTACATTTCTGGTTATGCAGATTTAGCATATAAGTATTTCTTCATGAAAACCTCTGCCTGGACATCACTGTGAGCAGTTGCATGGTATTCCTTCAAGTTATGCCATGGCTTAATCATTAGCCTCGTTTGGAGCCATATTGGTAAATTATATGCAGTACTGTAATGACTATTCCTCTGCATAAAGCTGCTTCTATATATTAGGTTAACTATGTGGGAGGAATCCCAGGACAAGTAATTGAGGGAGGTAATGGACACTTCCGTGCACACTTTCTAAAAGGAGACAGTGCCTTCATGCCCTGGACAGATTATGAGGCAGGACCAAGACTGACTTCTGAGTCTTTCCCAGTTCAAAGACCCACCTTAATCCAAATCCCCCATGACTAGCTGCTCCAGTATACCAGGGGCAGTATGTGGGCATCTATAATTTTTAGCTGGGGGACAAGAGGATTCTATGCCATACCACCCATAAAGAAATCCTTCACAGGTGTGCAGGACTGTGAAGGTCAGGAAGTTCCACTGCAAATGCCAAAGGCCAGGCAATATGACTTAGGCTGGAGGGCAGGCCAGCTCTGCGGTAGCTCCAGCACCAGAAAGAAGCAGGCTCAAAGTCAGGTAGAAAGCCAGGAAGCCATGAGGAAACTGGGTAGGGCACACTGGATGTGTGTGTGCAGCCTGGATAAGCACAGACCATGTGCCCATGTATGCAGGGACCTGACCCTTCCCTTTCCAGGAGGGAGGCAGAACTTTCCGCCCCCCAGGTAGGCAGAATATTTGGATACTACACAATCCCAAAAGAAAGTGCACATCTCCTCGATCTTAATTACTTTGTTTGACTTCCACGAGACCCCTGAAATGGTGGCAAACCCAAATTTATTCCCCATCTCACCAACAGGGAAACTGAGGCTCAGAGGGAGTAGCTGCCTTACCACATGGATGTGAGAGGTGGAGATGAGCTCTCCCGATACTCAACTACCTGTTTGTGGTCTGTGCTGGGAATATTGACAATGAATGTCTCTCATTTGAGCAATGAGTTATGGGAGGAGGATCGGTTATCACAACCATCAGATACTCTACTTCATAAACATACTGATCTGCACATCATTTGTCTTATTTTTGTTGTTATTAATACTTTCTGCTCCTGGAGAAAATACTGAGTTTGGTGAGCTCATCTGTTCTGCCATTCATTGTATTAAATTAACATCTCAATATGTGGACTAAAACTTAGAGGTGAAAAATCTGATCCTTGCAGCCAAAACCAAATATCATTTATCTTAACCTTGCATATTAGGAAGACTTTTAAAATGCGACTTTGAAGTTCATTCGGAACAAAGGTGTGTGTTGCTTTGTTGGAGGACTGTCTCCGCTCACTCGAGCAGCCCTAACAAGAGAGCACAGAGTGGGTACTTTATCAACAACAGAATTTATTTTCTCACAGTTCTGGAAGCTGAAATCCATGATCCAGTCTTCAGCACCACCATGTTCCTCTGAGGACCTCTTCCCGGCTGTGGCCAGCGCCTTTCACCATGTTCCTTATGGGGCAGAAGGGATGATGGGACTCCCGGGGTCACTTTTTTTTATTTTAACATTTATCATTTTTTACATTTTTTAGACCATATTTTCTTCCCTCCACCCCCTCAGATTGAGTCCCCATAGAATCTCCTTCCCCCAGGCACCCGTGCACCATCACCACAGTCCCCTGTGCTCCTCCCTTCATCCCTCTCACCCCTCTCCCGCCTCCTCCCCTGCAGGATGTCTCTGGTTTATAATTGTCTGTTTTTGCTTTGTTGTGTTTTGTACTGTTATTATTATTATTTTTTACCCTGATGTCCTATTTGGTTCCCCTATATTCCTGTTATAAGTGAAACCATCCGATATTTTTCTTTTTCCTTCTGGCTTATTTCACTGAGCATAATTCCTTCTAGCTCCATCCATGTTGCTGTGAATGACATGAGTTTATCTTTTTGATTGCTGAATAATATTCCATTGTGTATATATACCACATCTTTCGGGGTCACTTTTATAGGACACTAACCCTACTGTGAGGACTCTGCCCTCCTGACCTAATCCCTTCCCAAAGGCCACCTTCTAATGCAGCCGCACTTTGGCAGGTTAGGAATTCAACATACGAAGCTGGGGGGACACAAACTTTCAAACTATAGCAAAGGAAAAAGTTGGAACTTATGAAACGGTGGAGCTGTGTTATATCTCAGAGGTGCCTTGTTCTTCTTTCTTCTTCTGGCCTTCAGAAGCAGGCTAGGAGGGGGCCAGGTGGAGCATCCAGGGGACCTCCCTGGAAGAGGTGACATTGGTAGACCTTGAGATTGGAAGCCTCATGAGGCAATCTGGGGACTACAGCGTGGTGTGAGACTGGTGGCCAGGGGCGACGTAGGGAACCAGCAGGTAATGCATTTCAGGCATGGCCTCCAGACAAAAGGACATTTGATACGGACTAAGACACAAGCCATTAATATTTCATCTTTTTATTAGCAGCATGGCAAGTGATGGACATCCGGTTCACAATTTTTAACTCCTACCCCAGCCCTCAGCCCCAAGAGCTTGGTGAAATTGAGTAATCAGAAATGGAGTACGGACCCAGGATGTGTGGATCCAGACACACATTTTTAAATAACACAATAACTGGATGTAATTATATAGTCTTAGTTTATTGTGTATATGCATGGGAGGGGGGTTATCCAAGAGTGATAGGATTATGTAAGGAACATCCACTTCATATATTTTTGTGACTTTATATATAAAATTTTTCAATGAGCAGGTATTTCAGGAAAAGCAAACAATAAAGATAAATGTCATCTTTTAAAGGTGGTTTTGTGACCTGTCAAACATTAGCTGACACACATGTTAAAATGTCTTGTCACGATGTGTTGGGGCCACAAGATTTGCAAGGCATCCACCCTCCCTGCCCTCCCCCACCCCTGCCACAGGCCACCATCGGGTCCTCCCCCTGACCTGTCCCCTGCTCACCAGGACCCCAAGAAGACGCCCTTAGCAATATTTTCAGTTGGAAATTTTAATATCCCAGTGGATTCAAGCGGCTCAGTGAATGAAGAAAAGAGCTTTTTCCGAGCTGTCATCAGGGGTGCAAGTCCATGCTCTGTGGCCACTTCACCATTTTCCGGGACTCTATAGAAAACTGTGTATAATATATAAATAATAGAATGCTGAGGTTGGGGGAAGAATCAGGGAGTTCCTAATGACCTGACTAGAAGATGAATGAGGGAAGAAATAAGGTGAATGTGAAGTGATCTAATTCTGGATGGTTATTAGAATTATGAGCAAACTGCCCCGGGCTTTTAAGTCAAGTCATATTGCTGCAGAGCTACTGTTTGGAGATGCACAATGGGAGGGGAGAGGCTTCTCAGGCTCAGGCATCTCGGCCGAAATGTCAAGAATGTTGTCCAGTTTAAAAACTGACTTAATAACATTAGTGTCTCCTGCCTAGGCCAGGCAGGGCCCTTCGTGGAACCAAATGTCAGAATGCAATTTCGCTCTGGCGCAGCCACGGCATCTTTGTCTCCAAGCTGCATGTGGGTGTGCACCAGTGGAGATGGGTAAAAAACCAAGGGGTGTCAAGCCCCAGGCCTCTGCTCCAGGCCCCCTGGGAGGGGGCAGGCAGGCCAGCTGTTCCAACAAGTTAGGGGTCTGCTCCATCCTCCTTGGCAGAGACAACAGCCTGAGGGTGCAGGGCTGGTGCCTGAGTCACCCATCAGCTAAGACCCAACTCCAGAGCACATGCTGTGAGCAAGAAGCTAAGACACTAAAGCTGCAAAGAGGCTCCCAGAGCCAGCAAGGATGAACTAGGTTCCAGGGACAAGGGATCAAATAGGTGCCAGGGCTCCTGTCCCACACATGCAGCTGGGACTAAGCTGCTGTCCCTACCCTACCTTATAGTCTGCAAGGGAAGCTGATTTGACAAGAATGACTACAAATAAAGATGTGATAACAGCTCTCAAGGAAAAGAGGGTATTCTGAGAAGTCACAGCAAGGGACTCTGTTTCAGATTAGGGGTCATGCAGACTTCCCCAGGGTAGCGACAGTGCACCAGACCCTACAGGGGAGGGATTGAGAGCTGCAGACCTAAGGAATGACAATGTCAGGGACCAGGGCTGGAAAAGCCTTTCTGACAATCGGGGGTGGAATGGAAAACAGTATAATTGGAGAGCTTTGAACAAGGTCAAGAGCAGTTCCTGGGGCCAGGGAGGCAGCACAGTGAGTCAAGGTCAATGTCCCCTGCTTTGGAGCCAGCCAGGCTTTGGTCAAGATCCCAATACCTCTAGCTACTAGCTGTGTGATCATGAGTGAGTGGCTTGACCTCTCTAAATCTCTCTTCAATAGCAGAAATGGGATAATAACTCCCTCCTTAAGTCCCAAAGTCAATGTCAGGGTTATATACTAATATACACAAAGTGCCTTCTTGGTATAGTTCAGGCCCCTGGTAAACATTTAATGGAAGAACATTAGTACTGCTGCTAGAACTGTCCAGTGGCTTGGGAGTGGCCAAGCTCCGTTCTTCCCTGGTGCCATTTGCCCTGACATAACTTTTTAATGCTCTCTCTGACTCTGACATCCCAAAATACCAGCCCTGTGTTTTCGACAGAATTATCACTTTCAATTGTTCTGTAGCTGTCAAGCCCTGTCCAAGTCCTCCCCCTCTGCTTTCCACCTCCACAGCATCCCCCTCCTAAGTCTGGTCCCTACATCAACCGGGGCTGGATGGGCAGAATAACTTTCATCCAACCCTGTGCTAAATTGAGAAAAGAGTCAAACTCTGTCTGCTCAGAAGTATCCTGGAGAGACAGGGACCTCCCTTCAAGAACTCTCCTGCACAGAAGGTATAATGTGGCCTTTTGTGAGGTCCAGATTACAATGAATGGGAAGAGTGGCTGCCTGTCATGTCATGGGGTGCAGCAGGCTCCCGAAGCTTACTTGCCCCATCCCATCTTATGGAGCACACTCACCGTTTTTCAGAGTCCAGGATTCAGAGTCCAAAGACTGACACTCTGGTCTGCACAGCCAGACAGCCCGGGGTACCCTGAGCCCTGCTCCACAGTCATGGTCAGCCGGCCGCAGGTGGGTCCCTGATCCAAGGTAGGCCTAGCAGACTGTCCCCAGCTGAGATTGCGGATCAGGGAGGTCCCAGAGTCTGGTTTTCAGCTCCAGGAGTAGAGCTGAGAGGTGAGGAAATTCAGGACGGAAGCTCCTACCAATATGAAAGGCCCTCATGGGCCTTCTGCAGAGACATGAACAGAAGTCACGTTGTAGTGAAAACAGAATGAAGAAGCCCTGCAAAGATAGTGGTCATGAGGGCCCTCCTGTTGGTGAAACCAGCCAGAGCGGCTCTGGACAAGACCTCATAACCTTCCCCATTCCCAGCCCCCTCAGCCACTGCAGACAATGTCTGCAATTCCAGGGTTCCCACCACTCACTTCCCAAACATTCAAGCATCAAAGCAAGTATAATCCCTTCTCAGCAAACCTTAGCTCCACACCTCTAGCCTTGAGCACACAGGGTGACTCCATTAAGTCACATTCCCCCCCACCCCAACCCACACCCCTCTTTATGTCTGCCAGACAACTTTCCTGGGATCTTGGCAGTGAGGTCTTCTTGAATTACCCGAGTCATCCTAGCCCTGTGGCTCACATTGGCCAAAAGAACAGCATTTGCAATAGACATTTTCAGCTACTGAGAAATCTTTCCTTACCGAAAGTGCCCAACCCCCCGCCCCGCCCCCCCCCCCCCACGTTGGTCCTGTCAGGAACACCTCCTTTCCAACCCAGGCAGGACAACCAAAATACCCCAACTCCACTAGACTCAGTGATGAGCAAAGGGGTAGGCAGACCTTCCCAACTGCTCAGAGGAAGCCATGGGTGGGGCTGAACCAGGGCAGTCATCGCTGGGGTAAAGGTGAAAGGCAAAAACTCTACGCAGGGGTGAGGTTTTCGCTTCCTTATGTTGGCTGTACCCAGACCGTCTCTCCGGGCAAATATAAGATGGTCGTTTCCCTGGTGCTGGAAGCATTCAGGGGGGTGATGTCTTGGGACAGATTATGCTAGTCAAGATGTCCTTATAAAACCACCCCAAAATTCCCAGAACTGGTCTCCCTAAGACTCGGGCATGTTGAGTACTCTGAGCAAGGAAATCCCTTGAGGCTGAGGGAATGCTTCTGTGTTTGCCTAAGTCCTACATCCTTCCCTAATCTAAGACGATTCACATCCTAAACTTCTGACCATTTTTCCTAATGGAAGAGGCCATCATTGCTTCCTTTTAGGACCTAGAAGAATGTAGTTTGGGAGTCTCAGCCAGCTGTAGGTTGATGTTTGAAACATGTCCTCTCTGTCTGAAAATCTCATCTTTACCCAGAATAAAGACGAAGTCATCTCCTCTCCCCTCCTAGGTGCCTTGAGCTCTCAACACCGAATTTATAGCTTTCTCCCTAAGCGATAATGGGGCCTGCAAAAGCATTGTAGCTCCCCCGTGCATGTTACTAAATGGTTTTTCCTTTACTGACTCCTCTGATGTTGTTTTGATTCCTCATCCAGCCCCTGAAGAACCCGGAAAGGTAGGAGATTTTCCCCTTCTCCCAGACACTAAGTGGCAGGAACAACTAAACCATGAAACCTCAGAGGCACTACACAGCACAGGTTTAATTCTTACAAAAAGTCAGGTGTGGGTCACTGGGAGTATTTGACTCCAAGTCTCTGGCAGAGGCAAAATTCAGGTGAAGGAGGCACACCAGCCTTTGGCTGCCTTAGCCTAGGAGTGATACATGTCACGTCTGCTCAGAGTTGGCCACAACCAGCCCAGGACCCTAACCCGACTGCCCGGAAGGCTGGGGAATGTAAGGGCACAAAGACATTTGACAAGTGTCTACTGCTATAAGCCGATAAAATTTTTTAAATCTCCAACAATTACTTGAGCCTTTCTTCCTTTTTTGGACTATTCTCCAGGACCCCAAAGTCCCATGGGTTTTAAAAGGGAGTCCAGAACCCAGGAGCTTACAGATCATTTTACTTATCCTACCCTGAGGAAGAGTGCCCAGTTTTTTTTTATTCCCCAGACATAGTTTTATTATAAAAGGATGTGAGTCAGGCACAGTCATCTGGAGGAGGTACCAAGGACAGTATGGGAAGGGGCAGAGCTTCTGTGCCCTCCAGGCACCTCTCTCCCCAAACCTCCCCACCTAGGAACCAACAGCCACCCAGCCTGCCCCTCTAGCCCAAACCCAGGTAGTCACCAAAGTCACCCCCCTGAGGCCGGGGTCCCTGGGAACAGCCCCAGGGAGACCCATCCCTGGCCTCCACAGCCCCTCCAGGAGTCCTGGGGGCTGGGTTGCAGAACTGAACCAAATCATCTAGGCTGAAACTTCGGTGAAAAATGCCCTTCCTGAGCAATTAGGTCAACACAAACAAATTGGCCCAGAAAATCAAGGCTCCCACAAGTGCAGGGACTTGATCTTGAAGAAAGACAACATTTCCAGCCTTGCACCTCTTAATCAACACAATTATGCAGAGGCCTTTGCCGACAGTCCCCCAGCTAGTCGCTACCCAAACCCCAGATATTGCTCAATTGGTAACAACCTAATTAGTGGGGGAAAGAGAGCGGGGAGGGAGCAGGGCCGGCACAGAGGTCCCTTCAGGAGGCTGCTCACGCCTTCAAAGGAGCCATTCTGGGCAGGCGGAGGGCTCTCCCGAGCTGGGAGCTCAAGGTGAGGGGGAAAAGGCAGCTCCACGCTTGTAAATCAGCGCTGCCTAATGTAAACAATGTACTCGTCCTGCTTCTAATGAGCCCATTTTCCCCCAGCTGGAAAGGGCCGGCAGTGGCAGGGAGGCCTTTGAAGTGTGATTCATTGGAAGCTCGACGTGGCTGCGGAGGCATCCAGTTCAGGCCGAGCCCTTTCATCTCCGAAAAGAGAGACACCACCCCCTCCCACCGCCCCTCACCTGGAAGACAGGTCTTTTACAATAGTGATTCTGGAATCAGCTGTGGAAGGAAACCAGATGGTTTTGCTTTTAACGCATCTTGATCAAATTAGCCCGGAAGCTGTGTGGCTTCCTGGAGGCGGAGAGGGGTGGGTGCGGGCGGGGCAGGTGTGGGGAGGCGGGGATGTCACAATGGAATAGATTATGCAAATATATTCATTTGTAGAAACCCGAATGTTCTTAAGGAAATCATCTGACTAAATTAGGAAAAATTGGTTTTGATCAATGAGCAGAGTTAGACCAAACTCCTAAAAATAACCTGCACTGCCTCCCCACTCACGGCTCCCTCTTCCTAGCCGGAGGGTCAGCTGAGGACCACAGGATGGGAGGGGCGTGGAGGTAGGAGCAGGCCGGAGCCTCCCCCAAGCTGCCTCTAGAGACTCCGCTGCCAACGGAGGAACCAGGTGAGGCCCAAACAGTCGGGACTTCGGGGCTCTCCGGTCCTCTCCTGGGAAAACCACGCCTTCTGTTTCTGCTTGCACCTCCCTCCGCTGGGGGAAGGGGGAAGGGCACGGGAAACAGCTGAGGACAGATCCCCAGAGGGTCCCCATTCTTTACTATTCTCCCAGGCCTCTGCCCTTTGACCTCTTGTGTCAATGCCATCCTCTCCTTCTTATTCTCTTTTTGCAGAATGTGGCTTCCTGATTTTGTCCCAAAGTCAGTCCTTTCCAAGCAAGGCTTGTGTTTCACAGGGAAACTCTGGCCTGCAGAACACCATTTCCTCCCCACCACAAGGGTATCACAAGCCAGGCACACAGACTGGACACAGCGCACTTTTTATTCAGTTGTTTTATACAAGAAGAAACCAAGACTGGAAGAGGGGGTGCGAGTGGCTCAGGGTTACCCAGATAGTAAGTACCAGAAAAAATGCAAATAATGACTGCCTTCGAGGTGTCAATTAAATCCAGTCACAGCCCTCATGGTCCCCACAAGCCCACAGCCCCCCACACTCTCACACCAGCTGTTCAGCCAGCATCCCTGAGAAGCCAGGGTAGGGACCAGTGTGTTCATTCACCAACAGTAACAGGGTGTTCCAGCAGATCTTAGGCACAGCCTGGGTGTGTGATCCAGGGAAAACACACACACACACACACACACACACACACACATACACACACACACACACCCCTTTTAATCAACTGATTTACATGGCAGCTGAGGAGACTTCTAGAAAAAGAGCTCAAAGAATGTCAGCACCTGGGAACAGCTATATACAAGGTGCCCACAGTCCTGCCTGGGGGCCAAAAGCCCAGCAGATCTCATGTCCCTGGGAGGGTCATGGGCAGCACTCCCCCCCCCCCCCCCTCCAACAGTGTGGCTCAAGGGCCTGAGGACCAGTGGGGAATGGTTCCTCCAACCTGGCCCTCGCTTCAGCCGGAGAAGAAAGAAAGGCTGTGAAGCAAAAAACAGGGTTGTGGCACCTGGGGACCTGAGCACCCCTGCTATAGGACCCCTCTCAACAAGCAAAGCATAAAAGTGGAGACAGAATTCCACACCTGCTTGCAGTGAACAGACAGCTGCAGTTCTGTCTCCAAGGAAGAGTGAGAGCAAGGACTCAGGGCATGGCCCCTGCAGCAGAGACCCCAGGCCCGCCAAGGTCCATTCACTGCAGGAGTCGCGGCGCAGCCAGAGCCACTGACTGCTGCTGTTGGGAGGCAGAGTCAGTGGCCACCATAAAATGTGGTGCAATGAAGCTAGAAGATATTGTGGGTGTGCAGCATGACACCCCAATATCTGCCGGGGCTCCTCGGGTTCAGAAAAGACAGAGTCCGCACTCTTGTCATTCTGCAGACAGGCTGTCAGGTGCAAGGAGCCAAGTCTACATTGCAAGGGGAATTCATTTGTGAGGCCCTGGGGACATTTGGGTCACACAACTAGGGCCACCTGACACCCCTTGCACCTGGGAAATACAGGCATGGATCTGTTACCATTTCTGCAGCCGGGCAGCGCTCAGCCTCTCAGTGGTGAAAACAGATGAACTAGAGATTATAGTAAATTCTCCATAATCACTGCCTAAAGCACTAACAGGGTGAATCAAGGAAGGCTTCTGAGAGGTGATCGCATTTGAGTTGGGTCTTGAAGGTGAGTAGGGATACACGAGGCGAAACTGGAGGAAGAACAAGGCAGGCAATGAGGAGCTGAGCCAAGGCCTGCAGACAGGAGGGCATGTGGGGGTTTCCGGAGGAGCTGGAACACAGAATGTCACACCCGCCAGAAGCAGGGCAGGAGGGAGGGAGGGATAAGGCGGTGAAACACCTGACACCTTGCCAGGGCTTTGGCGTTTTATCCACACTCAGAACCCTAACATGTGATGCCAAAAGGGCCTCCACTTCTCCCCTGTTTTGCAGTGGATACCCTGGAAAGGTGCCCCCAACTCCTCAGGGTCACATCACGGAAGGAGAGACCCACTTATGAGAGGGGCTCTGGAGTGACCTGGGGTGAGCACTGAGTTCTGAGGACCAAGTTTCACTGCTCTGCTGCTCTTCTACACCTACCCACAGCCTGGCACCAGCTCCCCCACCTCTGCCCCATGCAAGCTCCAGTCCCTTAAGCAGATGGAGGGATGAAGTCTATAGTGTGCGCAGGAGGCAGCTTTAGCAGCCCTGCGGCTCAGAGGAGGCCACCGAAGCTGCCGCAGTCACCTTGGGACCATGAGGGAGGCAGAGAGAGGCTGTCAGAGTCCTTGAGTCCCTGAGGAGTCCCAGGATGGCAGGAATAACCAACACTGGACTTGCCCTCACTCTAGACTTCTATTACAGAGCATTAAACAATCCATCTTGTCTAAACGTTTTTCGGTTGGGTCTTGTGTTTCTCGTAGGTGAAAGTAACTAATTGGGACACATTATGGGAAAAGCACTGGCCTTGGAATTCAAACAGGTTAAAGTTCAAATCCCAATTCTACAGTGGACTTCAAGACTGAAGTCTTGGAGTGAGAGCCACAAGACAGTAAGTTAGTCACATGATTAGATTTGTGCCCAGAGTCCTCGCTCTCACCCTTCTCTGGAGACCACCCTTGCTGCCTCTGGCTGAGGAGCAGGGAACTGTTAGGAGGCTGTTGCATGATGAAGCTGGACCCAGGTGGGGATGGGAGGGTACACAGTCTCTCTGGCCACCAACAACTCCCAGCCTTCTGCACACAGCTGTCTCCTCGGGTCAAGAGGTGGCGATGATGCCCCCTCCTTTTGAATCTGGGCAGACCTGTGATTTACTTTGACCATAAAATGCTAAAATGGAAACTTTAAGAGAGCCGGCAGCTCTTACTTTTCCCTCTGGAACCCAGAGGGAAAAGCTTCTTCTATTTAAAGAAGCTCTAAATAGACCACTGACCTTCTGGGGCACTTGGAATGCAGCCCCATGAGTGAACTGTGGTACAGGGCAGGGAGCAAAACCACTGCCAACCCACAGAATCACGAGCAGGAACGCGTGACATGTCAAGTCTCTAAGATCTGGTGTGCTGTGTCATGCAGCAGTGGCTGAGTGCTCCCTGGGGGAATGGCGAAGTGAGGAGGGATGGGAGAGACAATTATGAGGGTCAGGAGAAAAATCATCTTGGAAATTGTGCAGAGAAGTGTAAACACAGTGCCAAGCCTCCAGCTAGTGTCTCTGTATGGGGGAGAGGTGAGGGCTCCCTGGAAAGGCTGCTGCAGCCTCAGAACCTGAGCCTCTGTCCCTTAGAACAAACGCACAGGCCGCGTCAGAGGCCAGATTGTTTGCTTCTGATGTGACCTGACAAATAGCTGCAGAGTCTCTAAGGGCAAGTGACTGTTGACATCAGGCACGAGGGCTCTGCTGGAGGCTCTGGTGGGATTTGTGGTCCAGTTCCACACAGAAATAAAAGAGATTCAGAGAGGGAGGGACAGCATTCAATGTCAGGGTCAAGATAGGCTTGGTGGAGGACAGCACTTCAATAGTTCCTTCAAGGACAGAAAATCTCCACAAGGGATGATAGAGAGTGCATTCTGGGAAGATAGGACAGCATGTGCAAAGGCACAGAGTAGGGAGCCCAGGTCACACTGGGAAACTGACAACAGGGCTTGCCGTGAGTGAGGCCCCGGTGCGAACCTCATCTGGGCAAGAGGTACAGTTTTCTCACCACCATTACTGGCTCCCCTCATCTGGCGTTCTCAGGCAGGCTCCCCCTCTCACTCTGGCAACATTACTTGAGAAATGAAAAAGGCTTCTGACTCCATGCAGAGAAAGAAGGGTGGAGTGAGGGGCCACACGTCTGGTCCAGGCACTGTGACAACTAGTTGTGTGACTTGGAGCAAATTACTTAATTTGCCTGAACTTCCACCTCCCCTATAAAGAAGGACTCAGTAACAGTACCTGCCTCCTAGTTAGCTGTGAGGATTAAATAAGATGAGTGTGTGATGGTATTTTTGACCTTTTTACACCACTTTTTAAACCCCTTTATTCTACTCCTTTTGGATCTACAAGAAGTTTGTCTAAACATTCCAGTGGTTTTTTATTTGGGTTTGGTTTTTTTGCCAGACCCTCTTTTCTCCCTATCCTGACTGGTAAGTTTAGCAGAGGAGCATCCTGGAAAGCCCAGTCTGTCCCTCTCTTTCTGAGGAGATGCTGCAGTCACCCACAGAACCATGCATCTGCTCTGCTCTCTGCCACCCGGGGACCCCAGTACGCAGGGGCACAGGACCCTGTTAGTGGTTCCATGAAAGCTGAGCAAGCACAAAAGGTGAAGAGTGGACATGAAGACAGATATCTGGCATGTGACCAACAGGCAACAGATTCAATAAATCAGAGGACATTCATGCAATTGAATAATATTCAGCCATTAAAAATGATTTTGAGAAAAAAATATGAAAAATTCATCTTTCAGTGGAAAAGTACATGGAAAACATACAACTAGTACAATTTTTGTTATAAAATATGTACTCACACAGCAAAAGCTTAAGATGGTTATTTCTGGGCAGCAGCATGGGTGACTCCTAATTTTTTCTTCTCTGAATTCACAAACATGTCCATACTGAACAAGATTGAGGTTTTAACAGGCTCAAAAAAATGCCCTAATTTCCCCATCCAGGCTCTGAACTCATTGAAGAGAATACAGAAGAGATCGAAATATTTGTTTTCTTATTGATAATGGGGGGCTAGTAAGAAGCAACAGTGGGCTTCCTAAAATTGACCCCCTGAATTAGAGAGACTTACACAGGCAGAGGTGATCAGCTGCCCCATAAAGGGACTCTGACATCACCTTCACCATCACCACCATCAATATCACTGCATAGTAAGAGTCACTATGTCTGAGAGACTGCACTAAGTGTTCTTTATATGTTGGCACATTTAATCTGCACAAACCCCCTGAGAAGACTGTCTTACTGCCCTCTTTTACAGATGAGCAAATGGGGTCCATAAGGTAAAGTAATTTTCCCAGAGTCACCTGCAGGGTGAGCTGGAATGCAAACTCAGGCAATCCAGGTCTATGAAGTCCATGCTTTCATCATTTGGAGGGACTGTCCCAAGGGCATATCTGGGAACCTACCCTTGAGAGGAAGAGAAAGTTCTGGGTATGAGGTAAGGACTTGAAAGAGAATCACCATCAGCCCCAAAAGAGAATTCTAAGACAGCTCGCCCTGAGGTCCATGCCGATACTCTCCCCTAGTACATAGCACAGCCTGATGGAAAATCAGCAGGCCTTGGATTCAGACCATCTTGGAGCCCATTAAACGGCTGTGTGACTCCAGGAAAATCCAGCTCCTTTCCAGGCCTCAACTTGTCCATCCATGAAGTGAGGGTGTTGGTGGGGTGGGTGATGCTTCTAGCTCTGATGTGCTGAGATTCTAGGAGCTTTGAGGTCCCAAACCCAGGTTGAGTTGTGGACCTGCTGGCCTGCATGGAGGGAAGCTAGGGTTGCCCAGCAGAGCACACCCATAGTGGCCCTTGGTCAGAAAAATGGTATGGTTCTGAAAACCACACTGTGTGAGCCAGAAGGCATTACACAGCTCCCATGCTGTTTCCCTGTATTCTCTGGGAGGCCTGCTCTGTCTCACTTGGAGGACTAGCAGTATGTAATGGCGCAGCCTGGTCCAGTTAAACTAAACCTTCCAGAATCCCATGTCCTGTATGTTTGGCATACAGGTTGGCAGAACAAAATGTTCTCCGAGGAGGCTTGGAGGGCAGGCAGGCACCACAGTCACTCTGTAGCTCAGCTCACCCAGCCTGCTGTCCTGAGGCTTACACCTGTGCACTTCCCTGATCTTCCTTCAGTTTCTCTGACCCCAGGTCAGATGTGTGTGTTCAGCTCTGTGACAGAGCACTCAGACTTCAGCAGGACCCCCCAGTATCCAAGGCAACAAGAGTAGACCCCAACTTCAGAGAGATCTCAGGGGTTCCAACTAATCCTTGCTCTCTCCAACACTCCCATCCATCTTCCCCTCCCGTTTGCCTGTTCCAAGTGGAGACCAGCCTCTGACATCAGGCAGTGACCCCAGCCTTACAGAGACTCCCCAATGGTCAGGTCAAATCCTTGTAACAATTCCCTTTAATATAGATCACTAGTCTCCTGGAAGAAAAATCAGAGATGAGGTCAGGGTTTAGGTGACCCCCACTTGTCTCAGATTCTGCTGGGGGTACAGAGGAGACCCAAACAAGAGAGTTGGAAACTTCCAGGATCTATTAGGATGAATCAGCTAGAACTAGAGTCCCCATGAATAGAAAGATATAGAACCGGAACTTAGGACAAAAATTGGGATGTCATCTTGACCCCTCCCCCTAGCTGGTGGGGTCCATATGCTACACAATCAAGCTTTACACTCACACCTCACACTTCCTCCTGTTCTAAGAAAACAACATTGGCGTGCTCTCTAGCATCCAACAAGAAATATTTCTGTTAAAATGTCAACAGCATTATCACTTTGTTTTTAAGTGGTGGCATATTCCCTGGTGCTCAAAATCAAGAACCTCCATGCAGATCCCTCCAATGTTATTACTTAATTCCCCAGGATTGAACCAGAAACCAAGTTCCCAATAGTTAGGCGAGCCACTCTGCCTGTTGTCCAGTGAAAGGAGTTAAAGCACCAGCTGGATTCAGGGTGGGGATTCAAGGAGATTGGGACCCCTAAAGTTTGGGGGTCCAGCAGCTTTCCAATCACCATCTCCAAGCAGAGCTGTTTGTTCTCCCTTCCACTTTAGGGCAGGATTCTGAATGAACATTCTGGGGCTCATTTAACTCTAGGTCATGTGTATTTCTGCTCCATCTGGCCCTGAGTCCCTCAAGAGCAAGATATTGATGTCGAGGCAGAATCTCTGGCCCACTGGATGCTGCCAATGTTTGGGTAGAGTTTTGAGACCAAAGAAAAGGTGCTAGTTGGCAAGACCTTGTGGTCCTGGAACATTGACCCAGGACAGCCCTTCAGCAATTTCTATTCCAGCCTCCTCCCCATACAGATACGAAAGCAGAAGTCACAGACAAATTAGGGACTTGTTCATCTGTTTCCTCAGAACCAGCTTAAGACCCAAGACAGAGTGGGATCAATAGCTGCTGAATGAATGAATGAATGAGAAATGAATGATTGAATCCAGCCTGTTGTAACAAACTTAAAACTGGAAGTCAGATCTCCTGAAAGCTAGATCCTCCACAGTCTGCATGCCTGCCACCACCACCCTCAAATTTACATCTGATCACAAATCCACTTGTTCTTCCATTGTCTACCCAGAATTTGCTAGGAAATTCACCCAAAATCCCCTTGGCTTACTCACTCAGAATCCTGGCTCCTCGGCTCAGAAAGTAGAACTTTCAGAGTACAAGTCAAAGGCATTT